AGCGCAATCGCAAAGGGGTCATCAAGAAGGACTTGAAGGCCAAACTGTTCACAGGCACCAAGGTGTTCAAGACTTGGGCATCCATCAGTCAAGGGCTTATGTTTCTGAATGTGCACTTACCTTACCTCCTGTATCACATACAACCCTTCGGTTTTTTTGTAGCGTTGCTTTTGAGGGTGCTTTTCCGCGACTACTTCAGCGGCGAAATCTTCCGTTTCAGAACGTGGAATCACTGCCTTATCCTTGGCCATGTGCACCACCAAGTTAGATGTTTTTCTGAATTGCGTTGAGGATCAAGCCAACCGCATCAAGTACGGCACGCAATACCAGCAGGCGTGTCATATGGCAGGCGTGTGTCTTGGCCGACACTTGACACCAGCTACCGCTGAATGGTTCTCAGGCTGGGGAATGGGGAAGTTTTGGGCATGGATGTTGAAAAGCGTTTAGATTAGGAGACCACTGGATTCTGTTGCAGGGTTGCCATCTGGTTGGACGAGCAGCGCAGTGGGAGCAGTCAATGTTCTTGACTTCCGCCGTCAATTTCCATATGCAGCGACAACTGTGGCTTCCTCAGAGCACATGCGTTCCTATAAAGTTTAATTGTTTAAGTTCAAGAATTTGCTGAGGAAGGAAAGCTCCCAATTGTGAGCTTATTTTCTGGGATTTGCGGACTGGAGCTAGGGGTTTCGCGGCCGAGGCCTCAAAGTTTGAGAGCAGCAGGGTTTGTCGAGATGTGGCCAGTTAGAAAGATGAAGTGAGAGTACTATCGTGGCCTGAGTGCTTTCTGATGTATCCACTGCCGTCAGCTCCCAAAAAGAGCTACTCGGATCAAGCCTTGGCAGCAACTCAGACAGCCCATCACTGGGAAATGCCTCGTGCCCATAGCCTCGACTCTAGCCTGGGGTCAGTGCGCTGTGTGGGGATCAACCAAATCAGGCCCGTCACGTGTGATTTCACGCGCTTTCATAACGTGGAGTATTATCTTATTTTCTGGATTCTTGGATGTTTCTCACGCCTTGCAGGGTCAAGAAGGGGACTACAATTGTCAGCAATTGGGGTGGGTCGCAGTGGTGTGCTCAGTGGTTGCGACGAACAGATTCGGGTTCGTTGGCTTTCTGGCCGTTGTTGCAAGGGAGGAAAGAAGGCTTCAAGCTAGGTTATTGAATACTTTCAAGGCGTTCCCCTAAATTCTATAGAATGTGTGTGTTTTTTCTTTGCGTGGTCGAGGTGGTCATGCTGTTGGTCGTCAAAGTCATGGACGCCATATGTACCTGTGGAGGTCGATGGCCCAGCTGTTTTGAAGTGAGGGCTGTTGCAAGTTTCACGTGTCACACCGTGCATCATGGATTTTATAAGTTGCCGTTCCAAGGAAGATGCTGCACCTCCGGCGACTGGGACGTGGACCCTGCACCATGATATGGAATGTCGTAGGCTCATGCGCATCGCGCATGCAACAGGTGTCCTTGACCGCCTGTATTGGGAAACCGTAAATGATTTTGATCCATGGAATTGAAGACCAGTGTGACCTGTGGTGTCTACCTTTCTACCATAAGAACAGCTGGTATAGAGGCCGCGCAGACCCTATTTAAGATGATGCGCAATGTTTGAAAGACTTTTCGCTTGACCTGCAGGATCACAAAAAGTGTTGACCACTGCTGTCAGTTGTTTTCTTGTCGAGTGGCAGGTTTCAGCAGCAGAATCATTGCCCTCGTTCCCTCTTTTGAAACCATGGTTTCTGAGGTGGATGTACGCCACCGACCTGGTCGATGACCTAGTTTGTCACTTTTCATGTTCGACGGCGGAGAAAGTCGAATTACTAATTGTATCTAGTAGATCTTCTTCACTCCAGGTGGAATGTGACCAGGATTGCACGACTGTCCTGAGACAGCGGATGGCGGAGGGCCTTTTGCACAAGGCTGTCATCCATCCAGATGTCTGTAAATTCTCAGCCAAAGAGACAGGGGCTTGCGGGGTGACCGCTGGCTTTCCATGCCAGGCCTGCGTTGTCGTGTTGTCATTTGAGTCGATTGCGCGACGCTTCATTTGAGTCATTTGAGTCCTCCCCGTTTCAATTTGCGCGTGTATACGTTGCCGTGATTTAAACTCAATTTGCCAGGGTGTGAGCTCAGCAGGGCTTCAGAATGGGCTTGGTGACGAACGCACCAAGCTCATAGAGGAGGTTTGGAGGGTGTTTGACACCTTACCTCGCCAGTCCGGTGCCAAGTTCACGGCCAATTCCATTTGCTTCACAAGGTTTCTTTCACGCGTGGGACCCAGGCTGTTCTTGCTTCTTGAAAATGTTGGCGCTCTTCTGAGCAAAGAAAAGCAGTGCCGGGCACTGTTGCATTACATCTTGAAGGACGCCGTGATTCCATGTTCCAAGACAGATTCAGTATATACGCATGTACAGCGACAAGATAATTCAGCAGTGGGCCCGGATGAACCCAAAAGGCTGCCAAGCGGAGTTTGGATGTTCATTGGGCCACAACGAGACTGACGAACGTTGGTCTTCCAGATCGGGCCCCAGTATACGTAGTGATTAGCGCTTGTGTTGACACATGTCCTTGTCAGGCGTCTCGGGCAAGAGTTTTTCTGCTGTTGGCTGCGCGCGGAGAGTCGCTCTGGGAGGACGTCGGGCTTAGATTGACTTGTCGTTTGGAGCCGTAGTTGTTGTGGCTGCAATCAAAAACCATTCATTTTTGTTGACGTAGTTTTTGACCTTCACCAACTTGTGACGCCCATTCTGAACGGATGGTGCGCTGAATTGGCAGGACTACATCTGTCCAGAGGTGGAGACTCACTGCCGGGCATGGAATCCAATTGCTCAGCAGCCAATGTACAAGTGGCTATCGCAAGAGCAATCCAAGAAGGACAAAGTGCGTTTGAACATGTGTGGAAACATGGTGGTCCCTTGCCAGGCCACGTTGGCCTTCGAGTCTCTGCTCACAATGAGAAGGGCTGCGCAACATTTGTGATGGCTGTTGCAACCCCTTAAAGTATTTTAGCTGTTCTTGTACTGCAACCTTGCAAGTTTCGTTTGTGTGGCGGCCCTGACCTTGATTTTGTCATCGTTGCTGGCCATAGAGCCAGACGGCCACGACTATAGAGGTGGTGCCAATTCAGCAGCAATTCACAGAAATCTGACAAGCCTTGTAGCTATGCAAAAGGCTTTCGCAATCAGACTGATGGCGTTTGCTTCATTTGGACTTGTTTGCGTGGAATTTAAGCTTGTCACCGTGAGTTGCAGTTTGTGGGCTCTATTAGTATTGCCTGAGAACCTTGGCGCTCCCAGTTCAATGTCTGCAGGAGGAGTGGCTGTGTCCAAGTTTAGAGCGCTGACTGCCACCTGTTTTTCCACGACTTCCGCAGTTGTATTGTGCTCCGCTGCGTTCGTCAGGAGAGTCCAACACAGAGAACGACTTCTATGTGCTTTCTGGCAAAGCGCTCGAGGCGGGGCTTATACTTCCTACCAAAAAACAAAACACAACGCCCAACACTTTGGTTTCAAGGAATAATACAATACATGTAGAAGAATTTGTTGTTTCTTCAATGGGTCGAACTGCAGGAAGCTTCGGCGCAGGGCTTTTTGAACGGAGAAGACACCGTGATAATTGGGTTCTACCACTACGAGGAAGGCGGCTTTTAAGACACAAAGAACATGTTTCAAGTTCACATGCACGCGCAAGCGCAAACACGTGCGCGTACGCCACACTAACTTTGCTATGGTATGCTTGTGGTGAAGAAGACGTGTAGTAGCTATGAACGCATCACTGTGTGGTGCCACTTTGCAGGTGACCTGGCCACTTTTTTTCCTTCAGCCAAATCCGAACATGGTGCGCCGCCACAGCGATGCCTTCTCCTAGCCGGCCCACAGTCTGAGGGTGCATCATTCCGGGTTGCGACGCTAGCTGAATCATATCATGAGTTTTTGTGCTCTCGTGAGCCGTTAAAAAGCTACGATGGTAGTACCAAGACTCATGGACTCGTTGCAGCCAATGGGAGGCATGATAAAACTAGCAAGGCCCCTGTGTTAAATCACGAGAAAACATGATTTTTGTTTCCATTGTTGTGCAGTTTGCTGGTCTAGCGCTGGTTCTTTTTGCTGCCTGTGCGGTGTGTAAGGATGCTTTTTCGCAATGCTTCTGCTTGGCCTGAAGTGACAAAAGCTGAATCTTTCCCTCGCCATCGTGAGCCTGTTGTCTTTGAATGCCGTCCGTTTTCTACAGCTGGTGAGGCCGTGGTGTTGATCCCTGATACTTCACTAGGACTTGACGCGCCACCACAAGCGCATGCTGATTTGACACGGGAGTTGAATGTGGCTGTGGTGAAGCTGCCTGTCCTGAAGTACGTGTCCTTCCTGCGTGGCATGAAGCGCATGGACCGAGGTGGCTTTAGCAAGTTAGTGACCGGCGTGTTTGCGCTAGCTGTTAGTTGTGGCCCACGCAGTTGATTGAAATAAACATTAGGGGCTTTCCTTGTTCAAACCAAGTAGGACGAAGCAACCACAAAGATGATCACCTTAGACGCGACAATGTCCTGAGGTTATTCTTCAACAAGCGTCACAGAGGATTCTGCCAGCGTTCTCAGCAGGATCGTCCGCTGATTGGACTGCTTCTGATCCCGTGTACAGATTCTTTTCAGAGTCAGTGGCGTGCATTTTAGATTGTTGTGGCAGTGGTTGACGGCTGACTTACTGCAGGCGTTATAATGCGCGCTTGAAGCTGTTCACTGTAGTCTGACGGAGGTTAGAGTTGGTTCATCAGCACACTAGCATTTCGAGCTGTTTTTGCTTATGAAGTGGCCCACCAATGTTTGCCAAAGCTACAGAGCCATCGATTTTGTTTAGCAGTTTGTCCCATGGAGTACGAAGTACACATCTTTTGACGCCAACGTCCAGGGAATATACACTCAGATAATTAATATATATGTATATATATAAAGTGTATTTAAAGGGCCATTTCAGGCTGTTTCAATCAAACGGTTCCGTTTGCAAGTGCAGCGCTGGGTGGTAGTCAGCCCACATGCCCAAAGCCTTTTCTGTGGAACGCCTATCAAGTGAGTCCAGTGATTCTGACGCTGGCCAGCAAGAGGGCCAGCAAAGCGCTCCTGCTGCAAAGCGTCGTCGTGTTCAAGACAAGACAGACATAGACAAGGCATCTGAGGCATATTTGCGATCGCTGATTGGAAAGCAATGCCCTTGCAAGAAGCGAGAGTGCTTGCTTCAATTTGCAGAGCCCTCCAAATTTGCTGCGCTAGCTGAGTATCGCTCACATTGGCTTGATCTAGAGAAGTTAGACCAAGACACCTTCGCAGCTTGTCAGAACATTTGTTTTGTAGTGTGCGCAGCCACCTCTCATTTTTTGGGGGATTGGGGGAACGTTTGACTTTCCTTCTTCCCAGGCATTGGACCGAATGAAGACCATGATCCAGGCCTGTGAAGGTGATGGTAATGGGTTGATGAAGTGGTCCATTGAAGGTGTGCAGACTTGTCGAAGGGCATGGAAAGCTTTACACAACATGGGTAGCTGAGCTGGATGACAGAATTGAATGGCAACGATTGTGCGTGAGGGTCGCCTTTTTCCATCTGGTAGGTGCACACAGGCTGATTGCCCAAAACGACGCAGCCTAGGCACTGGACGATGCCAGAGAATTTTCCAGGCAGCGCAGAAACGGGCAGTGTCTGCGCCAGTGGACCTTCGGTATGTGAAGAGGCCATATTCGGACAAGAAGGGGAAGTCACAAGATTGTGTCCGTGGAGATGTTGTTTCATTCCTGGGTTCTCTTTGGGCATCTGTAGCGGAGACGCTCCCTGATGTTCGTGACGATACGTTTGACGATGTGGATCCGGAGGCTCTTCCCAAACTGACTGATTCATATTCTATTGAACTGAATGTCCAGGTCTCGTTGCCTGCCAACCCTTCCACCCAAGAGAAAGTGAAAAAACCTCGTAAGGTTCGGAAAGGGGTGCTTCTGAACCCAGACAGGGCACCAGGTTCTTCTGGTGAGGAGGTCCGCAAATTACCGCCTGGATCAATGAAAGAATATTACGAGCAATACAAATTGTCTTCCAACCTCGGGTCGCCTGCTTCATTCCCAACATTTTGGCGGGCGGCTTGGAGCCTGGTTTCAACAGTTTTTGTTTTTAAAAATTTCGCGATGACAGCAATTCTATTTTTTTGTGATAGACAGAATCTGAAGTAGCAATTTTTAACTTCTGCTGTCGATCTGCCACGGTTTGGGTCTTCTCATGATGAAGCTCAGGCTGAACGCTGTGGTTTTCACACGTGTTTCCATTTGCACTCCACTTCTTAAGATCCGTGAAGGTCACCGTTTTGGAAGCTTGGGTCCGCGCGCGCGCGCGCGCCCTTTTGGGCTCTAAAAACGGCCGTCGGAGGCGCGCGCGCGCGCGCGGACCCAAATCCACTTTATTAAAAAAACGGCGACCTCGCGGAATCTTATAACTCCACTTGAACTTGGCCACGCGAATAAAGCCAATGCTAAACTCCCCCTTGGATTGGGCTATGAAATCTGGCCCCCTCAAGCCTTGCATCAACTGCTATTATTATTATGCCTAACTTTGGAGGGGCCATACCGGACATATCGAGGGTCATAGCCCAAGTCCAACTGTGTTTTATGCATACATTGGACCCAGTCAACCACTTCTTGATCCTAGGTTCGTATCCTAGAAGAACCCGATTTGGGTCCAGGGCCAGTCACCACTTAGGTGTGGATCAGTGATTTTCCACACCTTCAGTTTCGTGACAGATCAAATCATGCTGAATGCAACGTTTGTCTACGACATCGGGCCATGATCCGGGCCCTTGGTGCACACATCAAGGCCAGAAAAGAACAGCTCCGGCTGTTTCATTCCCACTTACGAAGCCAGTACATGGACCGCGTGTGGTATTGGGAAACACGCGGCCTCTCTAGGCAGCGAGGGCCATTGGTCACACTCATTTGCGATGGAATGGATCAAGCAAAGTTTGAATTGCCACGACATGGCATGATGAAGAGCAAGGACTTTAGCACCATGCAAAGGGTGAAAGTCCACGTCGCCGCGTGCATTGCGCACGGAAGATTCGTTCTTTTTGTTGTGTCCTCACCGGACACAAAAAAAGATTCGAATGCTTCCATAGAAATGTTGAGCTACGCCCTCACTCTTTTGGCCAGACAGGGGCTCCACCTCCCTTCTACAGACATCGTGCTGCAGCACGATAACACGTCGCGAGAATTTAAAAACAATGGGGCATTGCGATGGGCCTGCTCCCAGGTCTCTTTGATATGATTGAAGTAACGCTCAAAATGTGTTGCTCTTTCAAGTTCTGTCCACAAACGTAGGTTGTTTCTGTTCACGCCTTTTGGGAAATGGCTGCGTCACCGAGCCCTGGAAGGTGAGCTCTCGGAACATCCGCTCCTTTGTGGTCCAGTACCTGAGGAGTGGACACACACACGAGGACATAGACCAAACATTCGGAGCCCTATCGAAACATCTCCTTAGAGTTCGGGACCTTCAATCACCTTCAGACGTGGTCAACACCATCAAAGACTTTTTGCAGAAGGCGAAAATGGCATGGGAGACCGAGAGACATGTAGTGATGATGGATTCCATCAGGGATTGGAGTTTTGCCATGAGTTGGACACGGATATTTGTTTTGGCAAGCGATCCCATATTCCCTTAACTTGTTAAGGTCATCAGTTTTGCCAATCGTGGGGAATTTGGTTACGCAGGGGTAAGCTTCCACGTTATTATTGCCTGTGAGCAAAACGGGCGCCCAGGAACGGCTTTCTCACAGAACCTGTGCCCTTCAAGCTGGTCGGAATCGGAGGGCCTGGGGCGCCCCATTACTTTAAGCTGCAGCGCCGTGTGGATGCAGGCTCACCGTAGCTTGATTCTGTGCGGCCCTGGTATGTGCTCGCTAGATTTCAGCCAGGATTGCAAAGCTACGAGATCCAGAACAAGTTGTGGCATTACCCAGAGCACCCTGACGATGTAATTCTCAGGACGTTTGATCTGCGTGACAGATTGAACATGATTGAACCCTTTTTGTATAATATATAGTGGCTTGTGTTTGTTGTCAAATGGTTTTTCAGGACAAAACAGTGGATGGCCAGCCCAGAGTTCACTTTCACCAGTTTACTGTACCCTCGCCACCTTGCCTTCGAGCGTCTTCGCCTTGGTGTGCCTGCAGGCAGGCTGCTGTTTTGGTTGATAACGATTCCCTGACCCAATCACACTTGACGTGCAAAAAGGTGGGTGTTCATTATGCCTGACTAGACTGAAAAGGTCTGGCTGAGAAACGCGTCATTGACCCGGAGCACAAGAAGCACTTGACTCGCTTCTTGCCCGCCTTGCGAGTGCCTTTGTTTGGGTTGGGCAAGTTCGCTGATTGGCTTGAAGCCTGGCTGGACGGAAGCCTGGAGCAATGTGATCTCTTGGATGTCACCGCGTGCCTGTGCATTCCGTATGGCTGAAGATAGTGTAGTTCTAATTTGTTTTTAAATCTAGAATGTGCTTCCAGTGTGCAGCGATGTGTTGTCAGGTGCGTCATCAAGACTGGGCAAAGCCAGCATTTGTTTGCGGTTCCGTCTCCTTCCTGCGCCAGACCCGTTTACTATCAGCCCGAATGCCCTTCAGTGCCCCAGCTTTGACTCAACGCCTGTAAAGTGTCAAGCGTATTCATTTGCGCTAATGTACTTGCATTTGAAGCTGTTTTACATGGACCTTTCAATACCATCTTGAACCTTCCCTGCTACAGGATCGTGGGCGTGACCAGCAAGGATCGGCGCGTTGTGGCTTCATACGTGAGCCGCACACGAAAAAGGATCATTTATGCAACAGCAGCACAGGCTTGGTCAATGGGTGTGCCATGGGATGAGGCGTTTGCCATTGCCACAAAGGCTGTCAAGTCGAAGACTGCAGCACCGAAGCCTCTCCGAAAAGGCAAGAAATGAATCAACCTTTGGTGGGATCGGGGGGTGGGGGCAGCCGATTTCATTCTCTCAAAATTCTTGAAAAGGTTGATGAATTTGGACGTTTTATTGCCTTGATATCTTATTGTTGTCGGGGTCCTAAACCCTTTTCGTTGTTTGTGTAGATTTTTTGGGAGCGGCAGCGTAACTTAGGGGTCTTGATGAAGCGGGGTTGGCGACGGAATGGGTCACTCCAAGGATGTTGCCAGGATGCTACTGTAAGTGACCGATCTGAGGTGGCATTGGTCACTTACGGACCAGGTTGACAAACGGCCATGATGTTTTGGTTTTCCTCCCCAAGGAAGATTCACAAAAGGGTATGCCAAGTGACCGATCAGACCTGGAATCGGTCACTTGCAAGGGGGGCCACCTACCACTGCCTGAGTGACGGATTCCACTTCCAGCACTGTGAGTCTGAGTGACGGTTTTTGTCAACGTCTGAGTGACGGATTTTCCATCTATTTCTTGAATGACTTTTTGGTGGAGGGTGCTGTGAGTGACTGATTCTAGGTATGATCCGTCACTTGAGGTGACAACAAATCCGTCACTTGTGTTGGGAAACAATCCGTCACTTGGTTGGAACATGAATCCGTCACTTGGGATGTCTTTGAGACCTGGTGTCAGCCACTGCAAAGCGTTGTTGCACGTTGAAGCCAGGGGCCACATGTCGTTGGCAAATCGTGACGGCTGTGATGCAGTTTTAGTCTTTCAAACTGGTTGCCTGCTTTTCAGGGATTTTGCTCAAGGCCGGCTTTCTAGCAGCGTGATGCCTCCTGCATCAAAGACCCTTCCAAAGAAGCGTAAATCCAAGGGGGCCGGAGATGACAGCGCGGCTAAGTCCGCCAAAATGGCAGAGGAGTTTCCCCACGTTGCAACGATGACAGACTGGTGAACTGGATGGCAGTAATGTAGTAGTGTTTACTAAATGACGTATTACGAACACTGTGATGCAAATATATAACCGCAGCGTTTCTTTTTGGTGTTGTGCTCAGGTTCGTGAACAAGGTGCTGCCTGTCGGTGGCCCGGACATGTACTTGACCAACGTATATGGGACCAAGGAGACTCATAACATATCACAAAAAGATGACTCACTCATAGTATATTGAATTTGTGAAGGAAAAGATGAACGACTTTGCAGTGTGGATTGACAACTTTGCTCCTTCCAACCATGCGCTGGGAGCTCACTTTGAATGTTGCCGACCTGGTGATTTTGCCGTTGCCGCTACGTCCTGCGCTTTTCAGGTTGAGCTACGCGACCGAGTTCAAGGGCTCTTTGGTGCATTTGAGACCTTTCACGCTTGCTTGGCGAGCAGATACTGGCTGCAGTGGCTATCTGGAACCCGACCAAGCGCTGATGATATTAGAAATCATTATGACGAAGGGTTTCTTGCAGCTTTTCATCTTGTTGCAACGTTCCATTTCCGAATGTGTCCATGTAGTCTCTGAGAGTATCCCTTTGGGTTGGATGTTTGTGAGATTTTGTGAGGTTCCTGACGAACCCAAATTTGACGGGCATTGACAAGATCTCAGCGACAGCCATTCCGGACGCGTTCTTGGATTCCAAGTACCCAAAGCTGACATCCTTAGACGGTGTTTAGGATGCGCTTGGCATCTCAATTGATGTGTATCGCTGGAAACGTCTTCCAATTGTGACAGCCTGGTTTGAGTCAACCTGGTTTTGAGGCGA